TTAATGCAGAGTAATACTCCATTGTGTATAAATGCCACATTTTTTTAATCCATTCATCCATTGAAGGGCATCTAGGTTGGTTCCACAGTCTAACTATTGTGAATTGTGCTGCTATGAACATCGATGTAGCAGTGTCCCTGTAGCATGCTCTTTTTAGGTCTTTAGGGAATAGACCGAGTAAATATATTCTTTAGTATTTTATTCTTTTTGGTGTTATTCTTCTGCCTGTTTACGTCTACTATTGAGTCACTCTAGTAAAATTCTTTTTTTTTTTTTTTTAATAAGGATTAGACCCATAGGTGCTCAGCCACTGAGTTACATCCCCAGTCCTTTTTATACTTTGAAACAGGGTCTTGCTAAGTTGTTTAGGGCCCCATTACGTTGCTGAGGCTGGCAATCCTCCTGCCTCAGCCTCCCTAGTCTTTAGGATTACAGATGTGTCCTACCATGCCCAGCTGTTGAAATTTTCATTTCAAAGTCCTTATACTTTCTAATTCCAGAATTCCTACTTAAGAAAGCAAAACAAGGGCTGGGCTTGTGGTTTAGTGGTAGAGTGCTTGCCTAGCATGCATGAGGCACGGGGTTTGATCCCTACACCACATAAAAGAATGAAGCTAAATAAACAAAATAAAGGTATTGTGTCCATCTACAACTAAAAATATTGAAAAACAAAACAAGACTTTATTAATACTCTCTATTTGCTGAGTTTTTGTTTCATACTTTAATTCTTTAGACAGTTTTTTGTTTGTTTGTTTTTCCTTTTTTGGAACTAGGGATCAAATCCAGGTCTTTGAGAATGTGAGGCAAATGCTTTGCTGCTGAGCTATATCCCAACCCTAGTTTCTTTATTTCCTTAATCCTGCTGATAATAGCGCATTTAAATTCTTCTTCTAGTCAGTCTAATGTCTGAACAGTTTTTTTAAAACTATTTTTGTCCTATATTTCAGCCATATTTTCCTTTTTTTTTTATGTGTGTGTGTGTGGGGGGTGTATTTCTAATATTTTTGTTGAAAACTGTACATTTTAAAAATAATGTGACAACTCTGGAAATCAGATTCTGTCTTCCATTGGTTTATTGGTGCTAGTTTTTTTGGTAAATGTGTATATTCTTCTTTGTTTAGTAACTTTTCTAGATTAATTATATAAAGTCTGTCTAGTGAAATCCCTGAATTCTTTGCCTATTTACTGTAATGGTCACCTAATTATTAAGTGATTTCTAGTAATGTTTTGAATAGTAAGTCTCCTAACTTTTACTAAGGAGCTGTATGTGTTAGAGAAGATTTATCAACACCTTAATAGGCAGTTACAACTCTACTTACCCTTCACTCTTGGAAGATGACCGCTCTAGCAGATCTTATCTGGGCATGTGCAAAGCTCCCTATATACTTGTGGCCTTTCAATTACCTTATGTGGAACTTTCCAGTTTCCTGTAGGTGTCAGTCCCTAGTTTTTTCTTTTATTTATTTATTCAAGTTGTAGATGACACAATACCTTTATTTTATTTGTTCATTTTTTTAAAATGTGGTGCGGGGAATGAACCCAGTGTCTTACGCTCTCCTAGTTTTTTCTTTTAAGCGTTTTGCCCTTGTTAGCATCAACTGATATCTCCACCTCAGATACATGGCATTGTTAAACAATTTCTATAGGATGTTTTGAAATATTTGTCCTGGCTCCTGTATAGTTGTTAGGCTGCTGTAGCTGCCATGCTCTTCATTTCTGAGGCTATCATGGATCTGGACATAGCATAAGTTATATGACCACAAAGCTTGTTCTTTTCACCAAGATCCAGGTTTTTTGTTCTGAATTAGATTATTATAAGCCTTTAGTTAATTTTCTAGATTTTTTTTTAACTGAGAATGCAATTTTATTTATTTTTTTTAAATTTTTTTACATGACCACAGAATGTATTACAATTCTTATTTTATATCAATCACATCTCCAGCTTAACACTTTTGCTCTGGGTGGACTTAGGAGATATTTATCTAATAATATGAGTGCTCTTAAGTTCTGGCAGATGATTTAATAACAAAAACAAGAACTAGAGATAATATTTAGCAAAGTAGCAGATGTTTTACAATATTAAGATACTTCTGTGTTTTATTTTTCCTGTACTTTGTCTTATATTGTTCTACTAATAGAAAGAAAATTTTAAATCTTAAATTCCAAGTGATCAATTTAAGATACCTTGATTTTTTTTTTTTTTTTTTTTTTTTGCTGTATTAATTTGAGAATCATTCAAAACATGATTCAAGGAAAATAGGTTGGCATATTTGCCGAACTGTTTAGGAAAAACTTCCACTTAGTTTTTTTTTTTTTTTTAAATATTTAATTTAGTTGTAGTTGGACACAATACCTTTATTTTATTTATTTTTATGTGATGCTGAGGATTGAACTCAGGGCCTTGCACATGCAAGGCGAGTGCTCTACCACTGGGCCACAACCCCAGCCCAATTTTCTATAGTTTAAAAACTTGGCTGGGCGCAGCGGCTCACACCTGTAATCTCAGTGGCTTGGGAGGCAGGAGGATCGTGAGTTCAAAGCCAGCCTCAGCAACAGTGGGGCACTAAGCAACTCAGTGAGACCCTGTCTCTAAATAAAATACAAAATAGGGCTGGGGATGTGGCTCAGTGGTCAAGTGCTCCTAAGTCTAATCCCTGTGGCACCCCCATCCCCCCAAAAAAAGATGACTTTGATTTGTTAATGTTCTCATTTTTTTTACATTTATTTTGTTTATTTATTTATTTTTTTTGTGGTGCTGAGGATCAAACCTAGTGCCTCACACGTGTGAGGCAAGCACTCTACCTCTGATCCACAACCCCAGCCCATGTTCTTAATTTTTGATGGAGTGAATTTTGTAGGTCCTTGCAATGCTGTTCTTCAGGGTGAAAGTTCCTCTTCCTGTTGGCCTGCCCTCCTTTTTTCTCTTGTTGATGGTAGACAGTGGTAGGACATTTTAATCCCAGCTCTCTTTAAACAGTTACCTCTGTACTTCTCCCAGGAATACAAGCTATCTTGTGTTAATCAAGAAGTGAAGGGCTGGGGTCGTGGCTCAGAGGTAGAGCGCTCGCCTCGCAGGTGCGAGACCCTGGGTTCGATCCTCAGCACCACATACAAAAATAAACAAGTGAAATAAAGGTATTGTGTCCAACTACAACTAAAAAATAAATATTAAAAAAGTGAAAATAATTTTTTTATGCTGCTAAAGTATGTTAAATATTTGTAAAAAATCAGGAGATTTTTCTTTTTTTTTAGCTCAAGGATTTAAATTTACTTGATCGCTGCATAAAAGAAACATTAAGACTTAGACCTCCTATAATGACCATGATGAGAATGGCCAAAACTCCTCAGGTAAGTCTCTTGACTAAATCTCTCCTTCTTTGTTCCCAGAATTTATTTATCAAAATGAAGAAATTTAAGTATCAAAGAGAATTTTTTTAATTAAAGTAAAATAATCATCAACTTCTACATAATTTTAACTTTATACTAAATATGTGAATTTTTTTACATAATTATAGATAGCATACATGCTAATTTTGAATGCCAATTATACTCTTTATTTTCATTTAACAGTTAAGGTTTTTCCCCCTTGGTTTTAAAAAAAAAATTTTCTTATATAAAAAAATTCTAACAGTATAAAGTATATAAATCAGATAGTAACATGCTCCCCCAAATTCCACTCTTCCTCTGAGGCATTACGAATTTGATTTGTTTACATACTTCCAACTTAATGTTGGCTTACTTGAAAATCATTTGGGATCAAAATAATTTTAGCTGGTCTACCATATAGCAATTTTTAAAATAAATGTATAACCCATGTATGTAAATACTTTATTATACAATGATTTGATTATTTGGTAGTATTTTAAAATTCTTTAAATGAAATATGTTGTTTTTCTTTGAGACTGTGGCAGGGTATACCATTCCTCCAGGACATCAGGTGTGTGTTTCTCCTACCGTCAATCAAAGACTTAAAGACTCATGGGTAGAACGTCTGGACTTCAATCCTGATCGCTATTTACAGGATAACCCAGCATCAGGAGAGAAGTTTGCCTATGTGCCATTTGGAGCTGGTAAGATAATGATTTCTTGGGTTTGAAATGTTTGTCTCCCCTATGATAGTCCATGTGAATTTTATTTATAAATATACTTCCTTTTCATTAAAGGGATATTCTTGCAGATTTTGGTAGGAGTAGAATCTAAGTTGGAAAAATGTATTTCATTTGTAGTAAGGGAAACTGACCTGTTAATCCTTGTACTATGCTGTATTACCTTCTAATCTAGATAGTTAATATTAAGTCTAATTTTATAGTCCATTCTTGTTTTCCCTTATAATTGTATTTAAAGCTCTTTGCAGTTTTTATTTTAAAGAACCATTGGAGTTTAAATATAATAACAAAGTATTTCAGAAAACAGATTTGAAGCTTTTCTGGGTTGTTTGTGAACATTTTTGCCCTCTGTGAATATCCTCCTAGTAAGAAGGTCTTTAAGTTAGGAAATTTGAGCATAGATTTGAAAACTTAATTTTCATAAGATTCTAGAACAAATCAGGCAGATTCTTATTCCTCCAATCTTTTTTCTCCATCCATTGGTACTTGGTATAAATTAAACTGTATTATATGGCTTCTTATTTGGTCTTTCCAGAGAGATAATTTAAGTGCCAGATGACTTTTTCATCATATAAAAATAGTCTAAAATTTGCTGGGAACTTCTGATCTTAGCTTTATTTAATAAATAACTTGAATAATGCAGTATATAACATAACATAAAAGAATAACCTGATTGTTAATAATTGGAAAATGCATTAGTTATGTAGCCCAAATTCTGCCCCAGGAGAGGAATAATTTCTAAACTGGTAATTATCTAGCATCCTCTTCAGGAAGTGGGTTGTTCAGCTATATAAACAGCAGCTTATTTCATTTTCAGCCAGCTGTCATTTTTAGAACTTTATATTAAATCAGTATTCTCTTAATAATTGTTCTTAATCATGGTCACTGAAACTATATTGTATTATCTATGAAATGTTTTATGATTCAATCCTTTTGTATGTTTAACCAAGATAGATGTTAAAACTCAAAAAAAAGTCATTGGAAAGGTCTTCATAATTACCAAGAACCATTTTCCTAAAAACATTGAAAATATTCTGTAATTCTAAATGAACTGTTTATATTCTTAGTTTATGTGAAGTAAGATTCATTTTTTTAATTATACTGTCTATGTATTTGCTGCTGATCTAAAATGTATGTAAACAAATATCACTTTAGGCTAAAAGAGATGAGGAAGAATTTGCATTGATTCTGATGAAAAAAATGTTTTTTAAATAGGACGCCATCGTTGTATTGGGGAAAATTTCGCTTATGTTCAAATCAAGACGATTTGGTCCACTATGCTTCGTCTATATGAATTTGATCTCATTAATGGATATTTTCCTACTGTGAATTATACAACTATGATTCATACGCCTGAAAACCCAGTTATTCGTTACAAACGAAGATCAAACTGAAAAAGGCTGCAAGGAACTAATGTGATATATTATTGTAAGCTGCGAAAACATTTGAAGAAAATGAAGTTTACGAAACAGCTCTCATAGTATACTGTTTGTAATTCTAAAAGCCAGTTTAATTTATGATTTTAATATTTTATTAACTGAATGTTTCTATCAAATCTAATGGCATTTGCAACATTTTATAATAGTTTTGATACTTACTACATGTGCTTTGAGGAAGCCAAAGTTTATTAGTAAAAATAATTGTTTTGGGGGATCTATGTAATTAGCAGACTCCAAAATAGTACAATTTCCAGCTACTAATTTTAAAAGCTATAGACAAATAGGTCAGGAATTTCAAATCTGGTACTAGTTATACAAGATACAGAAAGCCCAAGGAAATATTTGGAAGGTCTTAGTTATTCATTTATCTGGGAAGTTTTTGTGTGTAAGGATGGAAAAGTAGGGAATAAACTCACAGTTATAGCCTGGGATAAAAGAGAATATTATTAATAAGTTTTGGTATGATGATATTGAGCAGTGATAGAGATAAGTTATAGAAAAATACATCCTTTTTAAGTTTGAACTGGAAGCACTGTTGGAAGTTGAGAGAGATGTAGGACCATGCTTTGGTAATCATATTTCTGAAAAATAATAAATACTAAAAAAGACTACCCATGTGTCTTCATATACTAAATATTACATACGTCTCCATCTGATAAATAGGTGTCCTGTTCCACAAGGTCATATCTATGTGCAAGTCCAAAATCAAGTCTGTAGGAGATATAATTTTCGTTTTCTTCTTTGGCTCAGTGTTATTCCCTGCCTCCTCCAAAGTCCATTTATGGATGTTTCTATTACTAGTTCCATTCATTCAAGTAAATAAACTTTTTAAAAGTACAGGATATGAGATCAGGGAACTGTGGCTTTAAGATAAGGTAATATGAAGCAGGTTCTTGGTATTATTGGTCATATTTTATGAAGCCCTATGTTCAGTAATCAACCTAACTCAAATTATAACTGGGGGCCTAATTATAATGAGATACCTGTAATTTGATCACATAATCTGCTTGTACTAGATGAAGCCAAAATATTTTCCCTTATGTATATTACAGTTCTGCTTAAGAGGCTGGAAGACTTGTGTTAAATTCTAATTGTTTAGAACAAATCTCTGCTGTTAAAAAGTTTTTCACATTAAAATTCTCCTTGAGAAAAATACAGTCTGTGTTCATGAATTGTGTGTATTTCAATGAGTTAGAAATCAGGAAATTGAGGAACCTGGAGGGGGAAAATTGTATCCTTATTTGCACCAATTTCAAACTGCAATTTAGTATTTTCCATTTGTTAAATTTAGGCAATAAGCTAGTCACATATTAGCAGTAACCTATAGATTTGTCAATAGAAATCAGATATTTTCATATCAAATTACACATCCTTCAGATCTCTTGAAGAATCTTAAGTCTCAACACTAATTTGAAGATTATCATAATTAGGCCCACTGGTAGATTCCATTAATGCCTTTTTTTCTTTGTATCAGGGCTTGAACTCAGGGGTGCTTAACCACACCCCCAGTCTTTTTTCATATTTTATTTAGATACAGGGTTTTGCTAAGTTGCTGAGGCTGGCTTTGAACTTGTGATCTTCCTGCCTCATCCTTCCAAGTGGCTGGGATTACAGGTGGCTCACAGTACTTTAATGTTTTAATATATACTATATCACAATTTGAAGTAATTACTTAGTTTAGTAATTATTTGTGTATAATTGGTTTTCTTCACAATCATATGTATAAATGATATATTTATATCTATATTGTCTTTAAAAGCATTCTGAAAAGGATTGATAGCTTCACCAGACGGCTAAAGAGATCCATGGCAAGGGACTGGGGTTGTAACTGAGTGGTAGAACGCTTGCCTAGCATGTGTGAGGTACTGGGTTTGATTTCTCAGCACCACATATAAATAAGTAAAATAAAGGTCCATTGACAACTTAAAATTTTTTTTAAAAATTTTAGCTTATTTTTTATGTATACACAGCAGAATGCATTACAATTCTTATTACACATATAGAGCACAATTTTTCATATCTCTGGTTGTATACAAATTATATTCACACTGATTCGTGTCTTCATACCTGTACTTTGGATAATAATGATCACATTCCAACATCATTTATAACCCCATGCCCGCTCCCTTCCCTTCCAACCCCTCTGCCCCATCTAGAGTTCATCTATTCCTCCCATACTCCCTCTCCCTATCCCACTATGAATCAGCCTCCTTATATCAAAGAAAACATTCGACATTTGGTTTTTGGGGATTGGCTAACTTCAATTAGCATTATCTTCTCTAGCTCTATCCATTTACCTGCAAATGACATGATTTTATCCTCTTATTGCTGAGTAATATTCCATTGTGATATATGCCACATTTTTTTTATTCATTCGTCTACTGAAGGGCATCTCGGTTGGTTCCACAGTTTAGTTATTGTGAATTGTGCTGCTATAAATACTGATGTGGCTGTGCCTCTGTAGTATGCTGTTTTCAAGGCCTTTGGGTATAGACCAAAGGAGAGGGATAGCTAGGTCAAATGGTGGTTTCATTCCCAATTTCCCAAGAAATCTCCATAGTGCTTTCCATATTGGCTGCACCAATTTGCAGTCCCACTAGCAATATATGAGCGTGCCTTTTCCCCACATTCTTGCCAACACTTATTGTTATTTGTCTTCATAATAGCTGCCATTCTGACTGGAGTGAAATGAAATCTTAGAGTGGTTTTGATTTGCATTTCTCTAATTGCTAGTGATGATGAACATTTTTTCATGTATTTGTTGATTGATTGTACATCATCTTCTGAGAAGTGAATCTTCATGTCCTTGGCCCATTTATTGATTGGGTTATTTTATTTTATTTTATTTTTTGGGTATTTAGTTTTTTTGAATTCTTTATATACCCTAGAGATTAGTGCTGTATCTGATGTGTGAGGGGTAAAGATTTGTTCCCAAGATGTAGGCTCTCTATTCACCTCACAGATTGTTTCTTTTGCTGAGAAGAAACTTTTGTTTGAGTCCATCCCATTTATTGATTCTTGGTTTTAATTTTTGCGCCACAGGAGTCTTATTAAGGAAGTTGAGGCCTAATCTCACATGATGGAGATTAGGGCCTACTTTTTTTTCTATTAGATGCAGGGTTCTGGTTGTATTCCTAAGTCCTTGATCCATTTTGAGTTGAGTTTTGTGCATGGTGAGAGATAGGGGTTTAATTTCATTTTGTTGCATATGGATTTCCAGTTTTCCCAGCACCATTTGTTGAAGAGGCTATTTTTTCTCTAATGCATCTTCTTGGCACTTTTGTCTAGTATAAGATAATTGTAGTTTTGTGGGTTAGTCTCTGTGTCCTCTATTCTTTACCATTGGTCTACCAGTCTGTTTTAGTGCCAATACTATGCTGTTTTTGTTACCATTGCTCTGTAGTATAGTTTAAGGTCTGGTATAGTGATGCCACCTGCTTCATTCTTCCTGCTAAGGATTGCTTTAGCTATTCTGGGCCTGTTAGTTTTCCAGATGAATTTCATGGTTGCTTTTTTTATTTCTATGAGGAATGTCATTGGAATTTTGATCAGAATTGCATTAAATCTGTATAGTGCTTTTGGAAGTATGGTCATTTTGATAATATTAATTCTGCCTATCCAAGAGCAAGGTAGATCTTTCAATTTTCTAAGGTCTTCTTTGATTTCTTTCTTTAGGGTTTTGTAATTTTCATTATATTTATTCCATTATAAAATACTTGGAAATCACCTCTTAAGTTGATTTCCAAGTATTTTATTTTGAGGCTATTGAAAATGGGGTAGTTTTTCTCGTTTCCCTTTCTGAGGATTTTTCACTGATATACAGAAATGCTTTTGATTTATGGATGTTGATTTTATGTCCTGCTACTTTGCTGAATTCATTTATTAGTTCTAGAAGTTTTCTGGTAGAACTTTTAGGGTCTCCCAGGTATAGAATCATATCATCAGCAAATAGTGTGAATTTGAGTTCTTTTTTTCCTATGTGTATTCCTTTAATTTCTTTCATCTGTCTAATTGCTCTGGCCAGTGTTTCAAGAACTATGTTATATAGAAGTGGTGAAAGAGGGCATCCCTGTCTTGTTCCAGTTTTTAGAGGGAATGCTTTCAACTTTTCTCCATTTAGAATGATGTTGGCCTGAAGCTTAGCATAGATAACCTTTATGATGTTGAGATATGTTCCTGTTATCCCTAGTTTTTCTAGTGTTTTGAACATAAAGGGGTGCTGGATTTTGTCAAATGCCTTTTCTGCATCTATTGAGATGGTCGTATGTTTCTTATCTTTAAGTCTATTGATGGAAGGGGCCCCAGCACTCCCCCTCTCTGTTTAAACAACAAGCATGTGGCTTAGGGACCGTGCCTGCCTTCGGTTGTCCAATAGTACATATTATCCTTACCCGTTAGGTTGGTACCATTGCAATTGGATCTTACCCATCACTGACTACCAGTCCAGTATACAGCCACACCTGTGGAGAGGTCTTTGTACCAGCGGGGGGGTGAGGTTCTTTGCCTCACCTCTGTTGGCCCCCAAATTTTAGCTGGACGATCATGACAAGCAGAAGGGAGGAAGATACACCAAGCCAATTGACGGCTCCTTTTGGAAAAATTGTACCACCGATGACATCATCAGCAAAAATACCCCAACACTACCACAAGTCGCTGCACCAACAGATAGTTCACAATGCATACAGGTGAGTTCACAATGTGTCCAGGCAAGTTCTGCAAGCAGTTCAGTGATGGCTATTGCAGAAGCTGTAGATTGGTTTTATCTTTGACTTCACCAGCACTGGGATGAAGATAGGAATTCTGGCAATAATGGCTAAAGAAAAA